GTTCTTATGTCTTGGTGTCTTTGAGGAAATTTATAGTGACACATTGTGTGTTTTGTTTTCTCAACCGAGGGCCAAGGATGTGTGACCTTCCTTTGTAAGTCTCATAATTCTTTCCATTAGTAATTTTCCATGTCGAATTGACTCATTGCATCTTAGAACTGGAAGGGCTCCTAGCTAGCTAGTGCTGATGGTAATTAATTACCACCCCATTGGACTCTTTTGGTCCTATGTCCCTAAAAGAAATCCTAAAGTCACGAAATTTCTTTTCTAAGGACAGGGCTTGGCCTAAAGTGAACCCAGATAATCATGTAATTTATCTTCAAAGAACATTTTCTTCTCCACAGCCCACTGTAGGCCACAGGCACTGACATTCCTTTGAAATACTAGAAGACCCATCGTATTGATATGATTGGAGCAGAAGGGTTGAGGTCATATTCACACAAAATTTTACTTATAATTCTAGTGGGTCCACTGACAAGGCTGGATTCCCTTGTTGGATTCCTGCTTAAGAAGCCCAGTCCTAGAATAACATACCTGATAGTGATTTAATGCATTATGTCTTCTGTTTCTCAGAAACAGTCCGAAAATGAAGATAGGGACTTGAGTTTGGGGTGGGGTGCTGAAACAGGTCTGTGCTGTTGGTTGCTAGAAGATAAGCGAATCTAAAAAATACTACTACACTATGACTTTTTGCCTATCCTACAGTCTGACCAGTACCGTTTCAATTGTAATATTTTACCATTTTCACATTAGAATCACCAATACTTAAAAAATACTAACGTGAGTACCCTTCCTACTGAAATTCTCATTTTATTAATATGAGATGGATCCTAGGGATCAGTTTTTTAAAAATTTAAATGACTTTATTGAAGTATAACTGATGTAAAATAAAGTACCTAAATTTAAGTACTGTTTGGTGAATTCTTATATATGTATGAAACCCATGAACATACCCATCATCCCCAGTTTCCCCTGAAATCACAGGCAGACATTTTCCTGAGGAGAGGACGTTAACGCCTTCATCAGATTCTCCCAAAGGGGAGAAAAATGAAAGCTACGAAGCCTGGCTCATTGAGATACCATTCATTCATTCAGCGTATTGTCAATATCAGAACACAGTTAACAACAATGGCTACCATTTGAGAACTGAATGTGCCAGGTATTATGCCAGGCACTTTACCTACATTATCTCTGACCCTGAGAAAAATTCTGAAATGTACATATCATCATCCAATGTATCATCTCCATTTTACAGATAAGAAAACTAAGACTCAGAATGAAGTGACTTGCCCAATGCCACATTTTAATTAGGCAGGTATTTGCAAAAGCTAGCGTTTAATAGATCTGCTACGGCAAACCTATCCTGTAGCTGCTGGGCCATGATGCCTTCAGTAATACCAAGTTGCCTAACTTCTGTTCAGAACAAGCTAAGCTTGAAATACCAGGACTGAGCAGGAAGTGAAAGAGCGAAGTCAAAGACATCTTTTTTTTTTTTTTTTTTTTTTTTAAAAACAATTCCCTTCTAACCAATGAGAAATCATTGCAAAAGAGAAAGTACTGCCTTTAAGAGATGCAGGACAGCCCTGAGCCCTCAAGAGGTGTGGCGGGGAGGTTTTCTCAAGTAGGAGTTATTATCTAACCACAAACCAACTGTCATTACACTGCATTTCACAGCACGTCTATGATTGGTTGACCAGGAGAGCAACGTTTGAATTTAAAGAAAAGACCAAAACAACCAGAGGTCAGTCCTTCATTGAGGAAGATAAAGCTTTGTTGTTAGAGAAAACTCCAACTGGAGTCTGAGATTAGGTTCTAAGACCCTTACACCATTACCACCCTAACTGGTGTATTACTATTCATTTCGTCAAGAAACCAGTCCTTGTTTTAAGTAAAACCCATTGAAAAGATACATAAAAACCAGTGAAAGTTCTTTGTAAACTGCAAAGGATTACAAAGAAGCTAGTAAATGCAAATATTTATTGTTTAAGATGCAATGAAAAAAAATTAATCACTAAATAGAAAGCCAGATTTGCCTGTCTACAAAGGCTATGCCAGGACAAGGTGGCAGTCAGAAGCAGCCACAATTCCTGATGCCTACTTTCCTATTTGTCACTAGAGCACATGTAGCATTAATGTTTTCTGTCTCCCATCTTTCCCTCTGCTGCTCCTTTGGACCACTACGTGCACTGTGTCTTCAGTACTTTGTTTATTCTGAAGAAGGCATCTATAATAAAAGCTATACAAGAAAAAAAGCAGGCCAGCTGACTTTATAGAAAGGAAACCATGCTTTCAAGTTATAGCTTGAAATAATACCTCTTCCTGGCACGTTTACCATATTTCATTCTGAATCTGGGATAAATCTTCATCTTTTTTTTTTTTTTTTAAGATTTTATTTATTTATTTCACAGAGAGAGATCACAAGTAGGCAGAGAGGCAGGCAGAGAGAGAGAGAGAGGAGGAAGCAGGCTCTCCGCTGAACAGAGAGCCCGACATGGGACTCGATCCCAGGACCCTGAGATCATGACCCGAGCTGAAGGCAGAGGCTTAACCCACTGAGCCACCCAGGTGCCCGATAAATCTTCATCTTAATGAGACAGAAGGGTTAATGAAAAAAATCATTTATTTTAGGCAACACAAGTTCTTCTGACAAAAACAGCAAGAGAGTAAGCATTAAAACTGGAGAACTTGAGAGACGCCTGGGTGGCAGTTAAGCATCTGCCTTCAGCTCAGGTCATGATCCCAGAGTCCTAGGATTTAGTCTCGCATCAGGCTCCTGGCTCAGCAGGGAGCTTCTCCCTCTGACTGCCGCTCCCCCTGCTTGTGTGCTCTCTCTCTGACATAAATAAATAAATTCTTAAAATAAAATTGGAGAACTTGAAATGCTGAAGGAAATTCCTATATTTCAATAATCTTTTCCTCAGCAATAGCTTCTATTACAGAAAGTTTCACTTAATAAGGCTGAATGAAAATGACATTGTTTCAAATTTTATACCCCGTTTTATGTTCATGAAGTAAAACAGTACAGAACTAGACAGAGCCACCAAATCAACAATATAAAATTTTCAGGGTAGTTTTTTTTTGTTGTTGAAACTCACTTTATTTAAAAAAAAAAAACAGTCATGAACAATAAATTACAATCATTTCCCCCTTTTATAAATTCTTCATAAAATATATTTGACAATTTTAAAAGAAAATCTCAAAAGTTGCTTTCATTTTTGAAGTGCTGATGACTTATTTTTTGACCATTTTGTCATGCTGGTGAATTATTTTGTAGCTGCTACAATAGTTTGATTGATAAACATTTTACAATTAAAAACAACAACAACAACAACAAAGAGGAAAAAACAGACCAGCAGAAGAACTATTCAGTGTGCTATTTATATGACACTTAACACTTACTTCATCGTAATGACAAAGTATCCCTTAGCACCAAAAATCTACAGGAACCCCGTCTTTCTAAGTGACAACTAGTGCAAAATAACATTCTAGGAACTAACTGTACAACCCCATATTTTAACTGGCCACAGCTGCCTATAAGCTTATTTGAAATATTTGGTCTTTTCTTCAATTAAGACAAATTTCATAAAACACTATAAACCATGGCAAGAGACTCTGAGGAATAATTTTTTATTGAGTACCTATTATGGGCAAGGCACTGTGCACAAATTTTTGCTTTCATTTTTCCTCTAGCAAATAAATATCCAGGAATTTCCAAGTATCATCAACCTTCTTTTATTTCTTACTCCTGGCTGGAAAAGGCCTGTGGCTATAGGCCATTTTTTTAAACTGTCATTTTACCAACGGACCTTTAGTGCTGAGCTCACAGTAGGTACTGAATAAATACCTCCTGATTGAAAAAAAACAAAGACAAAGAATTTACTATCCTTTTGCTTGGTATCATAGACTATTTTAGAATATAAGGACTTGAGAAAATTCCAAGAGAAACTTCCTGGTCACCTCATACCTTTGCTGCCAGTGAAAGAAAGAATTCACTTCACAGGTGAAATCTTTCAAAATAAATGATAATCATTAGCTATTTTATTTTATTTTTTTTTTTAAGATTTTATTTATTTGTCAGAGAGAGAGAGCAAGAGTGAGCACAGGCAGATAGAATGGCAGGCAGAGGCAGAGGGAGAAACAGGCTCCCTGCTGAGCAAGGAGCCCGATGTGGGACTTGATCCCAGGACGCTGGGATCATGACCTGAGCCGAAGGCAGCCGCTTAACCAACTGAGCCACCCAGGCATCCCTCATTAGCTATTTTAAATGAGGCAAGACCAAAAACTATGTACTTAGGAAACCAGGGCTCCAAGCACATAGATATTTGAAGAGCAAACGAAGCACTGGCCCACTACCACCGAACCACCATGAATCTCTGCGGAAGTGCCATTTACTGATGCAACATGATGATTCTTCCCACTTCCAGTAACTCAATCCCCTTGGCCAGATCTGTGTTACAGTAATTTGGAGATCCACAGGGTCAATTATCAGGAGGTTCCAGTGTATTTCCACCTCTCATTTCCAAAAAAATCTTGTATTTATTAGCTTGAAGTGATGTTCAAAGTATATGATTTTTTTAATTTTAAAAGGTTTTATTTAAGAAAAAAATAGAAGGTTTTATCTCAGTAAAACCTTTCATTCCAAATTTTAAACTTCCAGGCCAATGAATGCAGAATTCAGAAATTTTACATACTCTAATTCTTTGTGCTTTTTCACCTTCTCAAGTTCTCAAATATATTTTAAGTAAGGAAAAATATGATGATAGCAAAATTCCAAAAGTTATGGAAGTTTGAAAAAGCTGAGGAGGAGACACACTGGGTGTCAACTATGCTTTAATTAAAAAACAAACAAGCAAACAAAAAAACTCAGAAAAAAAAAGCTGAGGAGACTATGCAACTATTAATAATTTTGGTATTCATATATATATATATATATATATATATATATATATATATATTTTTTTTTTTTTTTTTACTTTGACCAAAGATTCTAGTGCTTTATAAAGACTAACCTAGATACAATGGCCTTAAAGTCTATCTAACCTTAAAGGCTAATATTCTGTTTCAGCAAAACTTTCTTAGATTTTAATTATCTGCACTTATAGGAAAACAAATTGGAGACAACCATCTAGGGTTAAAAATCAAACTAACTTCAATTAGAGTAACAGTCTATTGGTTTTTGACATAGACCATACCAAGTGATTGTATAAAATCGGTAACTTGCAAGTTTCTACTTGAAAGATATAGAGGATGCCGCAGTATTTCATCCATTTACCACGCTGTATAGGTATCATCTCCCACTTCAGAAAAAGGTGATCAACATTTAACACAACCATATCACTATCATTACTGTGTTAAATTAGGCAAGAGAAAACAGCATTAGTGCCAAAACGAAAGGAATTCCAGTGATTAAACAAGAGACCATATCAGGACAGGCAATGTGAGGGTAGAGCTCATTTGATTTCTTCAACTTTATGCTGAGGCTTAGACAGTCTTGAAATCAAAACTTACTATATCAAGTAGTAGAGTTCATATATTGCAAAGTTTTCAGAAACAGAGGAATCCTGTGTTCAGATTTGTACCAGATTGCAGATGCTCAAGTGCAGACATGTTCCAGTGCAATGGTTTAATTGGTTAATTGAATGCTTGGTTACCTAAAGAAGGTACGACTGAATCATCAAGGTCCTTTCCAACCTGCTACCACATGATTGCATGGCTACTTCAACTCCTGCAGCTATAGGGCACTGGAGAGCTCAAACATACTTCAGCAGCTTTGGATCACTTAATTTTATGCTTAATCGGATAACTTTAGACCCTCCAAAATGATGCCTTAAAAAAAGCCGTATAATATTACAAAAATAAAAAGTGTAGTATGATTTCATTAGAGGGAGGGGCAGGGGAGGAAGATGAGAGAAGGTTCTTTTATTTTTCATCACTGATTTCACCAGCAAATCTCAAAAACCCAAACCTACATCAAATAATTTAAACAGAAGTGGCATTTTCTTCATATGGAATGCAAAATGCACACATTCACATACTTACATATACATAAATATATACATATATGTTTCCTTTACAAAGCTTCAAAGGTTGCATTGCCAGCATGCAAACCTCTTCTTCCATGGAAATTCCTAATACTGACAAGGAATGTCTAAAATACTTGAGACTTATTTCCAGAGAACTGGACTTTCTTCTCTTCTTGGCTCTTAAGAGAATTTTCCTGCCAAACTTCTACCAATGATCATTTTTAAAAATGTACACCCACATTGGTAATACACATTTAAAACATACTAACAAAATGGCCAGCTTGGACTTAAGAAAAACGAGGAAAAAAAACATCCCACAATAAAATCTAAACCCTTAAAAGGTGGAGTTTAGCTTTTTATATTCTTTTCAGCCACATTATGTTGTTGCATCACTGTTAAAACATAAGCAGCATATCATCCAAGATATTTGCAAACAATGTATGTGTCACGTTTCCCAGCTGCTATCTTTAAATGCAATTTGTACTAATCTGAGTTCTAGTTCAAAAGCATCTGGACGATCCTGAGGGTTTGCAGCCAGCATTTCTTTAATCAGTTGTTTCATCCGCCCATTCATAGACTTTTTCTTCACAGGAATGAGAAGTTCCATTTTGGGATTTTCCAGAAGCGCCTCTCCAACAGGCACAATCTCAGTTCCTTGTTTTACATAACTCCCCAGGAGTTCCTTCTTTGTCTCTGTGTCTATGAATGTGATCCTTTCCAGCATTGCCCAGATGATAATTCCCAGAGCGAAGATGTCAGCTTTTGCTGTGTAATGTCCCTCCCACACTTCAGGAGCCATGTAGAAATCTGTTCCACAGGCTGTGGAAAGGAAACACTTGTTTACACTGACAGGTTCTTCTGGATTCTGCCCAGAGGCTGAACAAACTTTACTGAGACCAAAATCAGCCACTTTTAGTGTGGGTTCCAAGTCACTGGTATCCAACCTGCTTTGTGAAATCAGGATGTTATCAGGCTTAAGATCTCGGTGGATGATCTGGTTTTTATGCAAGAAAGCCAGAGCACTGCTCAGTTGAAGCATAAAGCTGGTGTTAGTTTTACGATTGGGTTTCCTGGACAATAGATACTCATTCATATCTCCACCGTCACAAAAATCCATCACAAACCACAAGTAATAGGCGCTTCTGGGATCAAAGGCAATTTCTCCTTTTAATGAAGTCTCTACAAGCTACAAGAGGGGGAAAAACAGATTACAGTCATCTGCACAGTTTATACAATTCAGCTACAGAGAAAGAATAACTAACTGATTAATAAGTTGGACTCCCAATTTTAAGTGGAAATTTCATGAATGTTTTATTTGGTCAATGCTCTCATATGCGCATTTTATTTTAAATTTCAGTACTTCAAACTGCCCCTAATGAATACATACCAAATCTCTAAGTCAGGAGGTAAAAAGTTATTTTAAAATAGCTTTAGGGGGCGCCTGGGTGGCTCAGTAGGTTAAAGTCTCTGCCTTTGGCTCAGGTCATGATCCTGGGGTCCTGGGATTGAGCCCTGCATTGGGCTCTCTGCTCAGCAGGGAGCCTGCTTTCCCGTGTCTCTCTCTGCCTGCCACTCTGCCTACTTGTGATCTCTCTGTCGAATAAATAAATAAAATCTTAAAAAAAAAAAAAAAAAAAAAAAAGCTTTAGGGGCACCTAGCTGGCTCAGTTGGGAAAGCATGGGATTCCTGATCTCAGAGTCATGAGTTTAAGTCCTACATTGGGCATAAAGCTTACTAAGTCATAAACAAACAAACGTTTTATTTTTAAAAGTATCCAACTGGCTATACATTTTCTGCATGAGTTAATGGACCTGAACTTTACCTACCTACACAAGAGCTTCATAAAAAAATTGACATTTCAGCAGCTAGTAGACCTGGGAGATTGCCAGCTGAGGTATAAACAGCAATTAGGAAGTTCTATTCAATTAAACTGCCTGAAATATGTTTCTTGTTCATTGGACATACACTATTAACATTATACAATCTGTAAAATTAGAAGAGAAATGATCAGGAACACTAGTTGTTAGGGAAATAAAGCCTTGGGGTGCCTGAGGGGCTCAGTCGTTAAGCGTCCACCTTTGGCTCTGGTCATGATCCCAGGGTCCTGGGATCGAGCCCTGCATTGGGCTCTCTGAAAAGCCTGCTTTTCCCTCTCCCACTCCCCTTGCTTGTGTTGTGTTCCCTCTGTTGCTGTCTCTCCCTCTGTCAAATAAATAAATAAAATCTTTAAAAAAAAAAAAAAAAAAAGGAGGGATGCCTGGGTGGCTCAGTTGGTTAAGCAGCTGCCTTCGGCTCAGGTCATGATCCCAGCATCCTGGGATCGAGTCCCATATCAGGCTCCTTGCTGCCACTCTGCCTGCCTGTGCACTTGCTCGCTCTCTCTCTCTCTCTCTGACAAATAAATAAATAAATAAAATCTTAAAAAAAAAAAAAGGAAAGAAAAAAAAAGGAAATCAAGCCTTCCTGTAGTCACTGATAAAAATAAAGACTGCCATTATTACTTCATAAACTTCTACAGGCAGAATGCAAATATACTGTCTATCTCTATCACTATATGGCTTCTAAAAACCAATTAATAAAAAAACATATTTACATTTTGATATAAAAATTCAAATATGAGTTTGTATATTTCTTTTTTTTTTTAAGATTTTTTTATTCATTTGAGAGACAGTGAGAGAGAGAGAATGAGCTGGGAGAATGGCTGAGGGAGAGGGAGAAGCAGACTACCCGCTGAGCAGGGAGCCCCATGTGGGGCTTGGTCCCAGTACTCCAGAATCTGAGCCAAAGGCAGATGCTTAACCAAATGAACCAAATGAACCACCCAGGCACCTCAGGGTTTGTATATTTCTTTGCTACAAGCTGAAAACCTAGAATAAGTTGCTATTCTATTTTATTTTATTTTTTTTAAGATTTTATTTATTTGACAGAGAGAGATCACAAGTAGGCAGAGAGGCAGGCAGAGAGAGAGGAAGGGAAGCAGGCTTCCTGCTGAGCAGAGAGCCCGATGCGGGACTCGATCTCAGGACCCTGAGACCACGACCTGAGCCGAAGGCAGCGGCTTAACCCACTGAGCCACCCAGGCGCCCAAGTTGCTATTTTATTTGTTATCATTATCAAATTATAATTCTATGACCTGAAATTCAAGAATATTGATTACTTCACCGAATATGAACTACCATTCTAAAATATAGCATACAATACTTTTTGAAAGCATTTGTCCCATGGTGCCTTTTCAGACCCACTGAATAGAAACTCAGTAGGGAAGCTGAAGAGTTGTTGAAGAATGAACTGCAAGTTCACATTTAAGTCTACTAGTACTTCCTCTTGTCATTTGGAGGGCAGAAGCAAAGAACACCTTTCACACCATCTCCCCCAATGGCAAACAGCTGTAATTGCAACCGTCTGCATATGTCTTCTGCGTGCATTTTCTTTGTTGCGTGTTGGCCAGTGAGCCAGAAAATGAAAGACTAGAAAGGTACAGATCACACAATTATTTACCAGGTGCACTGTTACTAAATATGCTGAGATTAAAGATCAGTGCCATTACTCTTACTTCATTTTCTCTCTTCTTCTGTCTTACTCTCAAAAGCAAACTTCTAAATAACTTTGAGCAACGCAAAGTCCCAGCATTCAAAGAATGGTTTAGAGTAAGGTGAGACAGTAAATATTTTAGGCTTGACAAGTCACATAAGGTTTCTGTACCATATTCTTCTTTCTTTCCCTTAAACAACTCTTTAAAAATGTCAAAACTATTTTTAGCATCTGGGCCATATAAAAAATTGCCTGAGGGCTATAGTTTGAGGGCTGCTGGTTGAGAGAGCCCAACCCACTTATTTCCATGTGTAAAGGATGTAAAGTCATTGGTTCTCTTGCCTAAAGTCCTTCAACAGTTTCCCTGTTCTCTTAGGATACAGTCTAAGGTCTTGAACATGGGCTGTGGGATCCTTTGACCCTGCTGACCTTTCTAGTTTCATGTAAAACAACTCTGCTGGCATAGTACAGTCTTACTATATTCTTTCAATTCTTAGAATGCTTTGTACTTTTTGCTTCAAAACATCTGTATGTACAGTTCTTTCTGACTGGCAAGTTTTCTCACTCACATGGCTAACTCCTCTTTACCCTTAAGTTTTCAGTTGAAACAACTCATAATTCCTGAAACCTAGGTTATGTCAGGTTCTCTCTCATATGCTCTTATATCATTCTGTATCTCTCATTCATGACACTGATTACAAGTTATACAGACTGGCACCAAGTTCCTATGTTGAGAATGTATCCTCTGTTAATTAATTTGCTTTACATTTTCTTCTAGCTAAATTTTTTAGCTATTACGAACTGACTTAATCATTCAGAACAAGGAAAATATCTAGAAAAACATGGAGAAAAACAAAAACTTGTGTAGAGAATGGAGAAAGCCATGCATAGGGACTCTGTGGTCATGCTACAGATTTAACTGTTTTTACCAGATGTAAATTTAGAGAAGGCACTTGCTAAGTGTGTTGATCAATGTCTTGTTAATAAATCCACAGAAAAGACAATTTTAATAGAGCTTTTAACAGAGCTACCTATTACTGAGTACTTCCTATGTGCCAAGTATTTTACTGTATCATTTCTAATTTTGACAACTTCCATGGAAGGTAAAATTATTATTACTATTTTACATCTGAAGATACAGAAGCTGGAAGAGATGAGTTATTTAGCCAAGATCATAGAGCTAGCAAAAGTGCCACAAGTCAAACACAGGCCTATCAGCCTTTATTTATTTAATTTATAATATTTTTAAAAATAGTTTTTATTTATTTGACAGAGATCACAAGTAGGCAGAGAGGCAGGCAGAGGTGGGGTGGGGGAAGCTGGCTCCCTGCTGAGCAGACAGCGGATGCGGGGCTTGATCCCAGGACACTGGGATCATGACCTGAGCCAAAGGCAGAGGCTTTAACCCACTGCACTACCCAGGCACCCCCCCATCAGCCTTTAAAAGATAAAAGGGAGTACTAAATAAAAAGGTGTTTTAGATTAAAAAAAAAAAATCATTGAGTCAAGGCTGGAAGTACTTTACATCTTATTATTTTTATTATTTTTTTAAGTAATCTCTATACCTAACATGGGGCTCAAACTTACAACCCCAAGATCAAGAGTCACATGCTCTACTGACTGAGCCGGCCGGGTGCCCCAATACTTTACATCTTAAAGGCTTGAATGACCACCTAATACTATAAAGGTTGCTTGATCTGGACTCAAGGATACCATTAGCACTAAGTCATATATTTAAATGTCTTTGTATTTGTAGATCAGTTCAATGGCAAAGTTCATCAAAGTTCTATCCACTTTTAAGAGGGAGCATGGTAAGAATGTTTCTAGTATTTTCTATCAGTGCAACTTACATACTAAGCACTTTTAGAAAAGTAAACAATAAATGGAATAGAGGCGAAATAGTTGTGCTTTACAGTTACTGTCTTAAGAGGTAAAACTTCAGGATAGAGCATGAGAAACTGCAATATAAATTAGGTTCTCAAGATTGATATTTGTTCACCATATAATGAAAGTTGCAAGTTTCTAATTAAACAGATCAATGTTTGTTTTCTTTGTTGTTCCTGGTCCAAAAGTTTTTGTTGTTTTAAAATCATACTTCTGTACCCTGATGGTTGAAATTCTGAATTTAGACATACTCATGGGAAGTTGTTTCCTCTTCCAAGAATGACTGGATTTAAATTTTTCTCTGGCCTTTAACTAGCTATGTCTTAAGTATCTTTTCTCTTTAGCAAATACAGGCCTACTAGAGATTTTGATCTATACTAGAAGCCAGCCAACCAACCAACCAAATAAATAAACAAACAAATAAACCTTTTCTGTTTTCCTATGTTAATGCTTTCCCCAGGTCTACAAAAAAAGTAATTTGAAGGCAAGAGTAATTTGGAAGTTAAAGGGACACAAGTTTTAGTGGTCAGATGGTCTCCTACATTCAGTTACCAATCCTGCCACTTGCTGGGTATGTGACTTGGATAAATTCATTATTTATTCTAAGCCTCAATTTCTTCATTTGTATAATGATAATAGTACTACCCTCACAGGATTGTTCTGAGCAACTGCCTTTAAAACACTTTGAACACATAGTGTGGAACTGAGTTGGAACCCAAATGTTAGCTATTAGCACTATTAATAACATTCAAGCGCTATGCAACATACTTCATGAAAAATAACTAGAGTTGCATGGTTAAGAAACCACACAACCCTCTAAAACAGCAAATGCTTATATTCGAATCAGTGATTTATAAAGAAATGCCCAATTACCTATATGGGTGCTGCTATTGATTGTGGAGTTTTTCCTTTTCTTCTGGATTTAGTTCCCAAAAACTTGATTTCAAATAAGTGAACTTATCAGACTCTAATCTTGATCACTTTTCTAGCTCCTATGTTGCCCCATTCCCATGCAGACTGGCAAGTACCATGGCATAACAGGTGGCTTATGTTATTTTTAGGTATTTCCATCACAGGTTTAAATAAAACCCTGTTTTGGGACGCCTGGGTGGCTCAGTTGGTTAAGCAGCTGCCTTCGGCTCAGGTCATGATCCCAGCGTCCTGGGATCGAGTCCCACATCGGGCTCCTTGCTCTGCAGGGAGCCTGCTTCTCCCTCTGCCTCTGCCTGCCATTCTGTCTGCCTGTGCTCGCTCTCTCTCCCTCTCTCTGACAAATAAATAAATAAAAATCTTTAAAAAAAAAAAAAAAAAGAAAGAAAAAATCTATTTAAAAAAAAAATAAATAAAAAAATAAATAAAACCCTGTTTTAAAGCAAACATCTATTCAGTTCTTGGCAGACCCTTATCTACTCCTAACTATATAAACACCTGCATTTAAAAGTAGAAGCTCATCTGACTCGTTTATTCCTCTTCTTGCTGACCAATACTAAATTCAAGTTATATCTATTCCTATTCAACCACACGTACCTGTAAATAAAGGGAAGAATTAGAGCCGTGGGACATTTTTTGCACCATCCCATCTTTTTGTAGGATGCATTCCTCCAAGTGAATCACATTTGGATGTTGGCTCTTGATACTGCTTAGTGCCCAGAACTCACGCAGGGCTAGTTCAACATTTTCAGGTGCATGGCATCGAATTTTCTTCACCGCCACCCGTGCAGAGGTCTTTCTGATGACTGCTTCATACACAACACCGTAACTGCCTCGGCCTACCTCCCGTATTAGATCGTACTTTGGCTGGCTACTCACCATCTTCAAGGTCAAAGTTTCTGGAAAAATCAACAAAGTGCTCTGTTGAAATTAAGTATACTTACTGGCTTGTATACCTTTTTATGTATGATTTAATTATCTGTCTCACTGTTTGCAGTGCTTGAAAGATATTTGCTATAACTTGGGCAAATCTAAATATTTGAATAGTAATAATAAAGCAGCTAACCCTTTGGTAGTACTTACCATGTATCAGGATCTGTTCCAAGCACTTCATAATATTAAATTCATTTAATCCTCACAACAATATTATGAAATAGATACTATTATGGTCATTTTATAGATAAGAAAACGAAAGCACAGAGAGTTTAAGCAACATGCCTAAGGTAAAAGAGCTATTGGTGGACCTGGGTTTTGAAACCAGGCCATCTGCCTCTGACATTCATAACCATAACCATTACACTACACTGCCTCCCATACAAACTGCTTCAAAATATTACTGTTAAAAACAAACCAGAAAATTCATCATTCTTATTTACTGGTCATGAAAAAAGAAACTCCAGCGTCTCCTTAAAGCTGACATACACAAAGTTCATAAAAATGTCAAAACAAAAACAAAAAACAGCTGGCTTGTGCTTAGGGACTGAAAGTAGACTAGATTACATAGAGAATTCAAAATGTGGGTTTTTTTTTAAAGTAAACAAACTGTGTATGTCCCTATTTTAATTTTGTTTATGTTATTTCCTCATTTCTTGCAAAATAAATGAAAATAAACTCTGTGGAGAAAAATGGTCCTCTAAAAATAAAGCAAGCTACTTAGAATGTTGTTACCTTTCTGTTGTTAAATGTAAACAACACCTATCTAGATGTAGGCCATTTTTGCCACTAAAAACTGTCCTCTGACAGTGTTCTTTCAAGTTCAACTTGATAAATCATTTAAAGGCAGAGGCCCTACACAGAGGATGCTCATGAGTTGAATCAAGAAAGTCTAAAGTGTGCCACCTCATTCTCCGAAGAATGTTAAGAATCTAATGAGCTTCAGAACAAATTCTTATTTGTGGATTGCTACAATGGGCAAGAGATTGTGCAATCTTTCGAATGCACAGTTTAGGGGGAACAAGAGGCTACTGACTCTTGAGCCTGAAAAATTGGGTACAGCTACTTTAAGTCCATAGGATAGATTTAGTAAAGAAAATGAAAGCTTCTGAGATTACTTCTTAGTCCCACTTCCTCTAACTGGAACCCCCCTTCACATTCCTACTGTATTCCTAGTGTCTGATACCCTGCCACGGAATCCTGGCTCCAGGTCCACAGCAGACACTCTTTCCTGCTCTCCGTGGATCGCCAGTTACTATCTACCTCAAAGTGGCTCCTGTCTTGCAAGCTGTCCCACACCCGCACACGACAGAGCACCCGCGTAAGGCAGAGGGAGGGCGTTTATGAAATCCCTGGCTGCAAACCCAAGCGACCGGCCAGCACTTCCCGGGCCCTAGCGCCCGCCCCGCTGAGCCAGCGCCAGGCGGCCGGCGGGCCAGGCCACACACCTGCCCGGCCCGGGAAGGACCAGTCCTGGGCAGAGGTGTCGTCCGACGCGGCCGCTCAGCGCCCCGCTCATTGGCCGAGTATCAGGCCCTCCCCCTCCCCCTCCCCGGCGGCGTCCAGACGAAACCCGGAGGGGATCCTCCCGAGGCCCTTCACCCCGAGGAGCCAGTCCCGCGGCTGTCCCAGATCCTCGGGGGTGGCGGATGAGGCCCGGGCCCTGGGGAGGAGACCAGGGACAGAAGAGGAGGCCGCAGCTGGGGCCGGTGGCCTGAGGGGTGCGGGCCGGAGGCCTGAGGAGCGCGGGGCCTTCCCTAGCATGACTCCGCTGACAGGTCTGTGACAGGCCTCCCGGGGAAGGAGGTGCATGCAAGGCCTTCGGCTCTGCAGAAGGGCCTCAGTGCCAGGTCTGAGGGCCATATTTACCTCAGGGTAGCCGCCGCCGCTTCTCCCTCTCACGGGCTCTGCAGGCCGCCATTATCGGGCAGCTCGCGCCTCAGCCTCCGCGGCCTCCAGTCAGAGACCGGCGCGCGCCCCCGTGGTGCGCGCGGACACACCCCCTTACGCCGCGCGGCCCCGCCCCCCTCCGGCTTTCCGTAGCGCGAGCCGGGACGCCGAGCGCCTCCTTATTGGGCGCGCTCCTCGCCCTCCGCTAGCCTCCTCCCTCTCCCGTGGTTCGCAGTAGCCGGGAGTCGCCGAAGGTGTGCGCGCTCTGGAGCGCACCACTAGTGCCCCTCCCCGCAGGGGTGGCCGGGCCCCGGAACGGGGAGGCCGCTGCCCGCCAGAGCTCGGTCACCGTCCAGCCGCAGCGGGCGCCCACGGCCCGCGGGCTCCGGGGACGGTCTGCGGCAGCAGGTCCGGGCCTGGGGGTGCGCGCGCCCGGCGCGGCCTCCCCGTTCCCTCCCCGCCCCCCTTCCCACCTACCGAGCTGCGGGCAGGTGTGCGGGGGTCGCTGGGGCGGAACGCCTGATGCATCTTCTTCCGATCGGGCTTGGGGTGCCTGCGGGACGCGGAGCTTTTCGGCTAGTCCGCGGGAGGCGCGGTCCGAGCTGGGGGGCCTGGCGTCCGCCCAGCCGGGTGGGAGGCTGCACCTTTTGTCAGAGTCACTGAGCCATGTTTGCGGACGGTGCAGTTGCCCAGGCGGCGTCGGCGCGGGACTGGGTGCGATCATCTGGGAGGACGCCGTCCCCTGCCCCGCCGGCGCGGTGGTATCTCCCTTAAAGAAGCCGGCACCTCATTGTTCCTGGGCCGCCGCGGCCGGGAGTCGGGGGCGCCCTGCCCGGCGCCGGGAGGAAGGCGCGGCGGCTCTCGCACCTGGCCGCTGCCGCCCGCGCAGTCCCTGCGGGGCGGTGGCCCCAGCGGGGAGTCGGGATCCAGCCCGCGCGAGGTCCGAGGCGGCCGGGGCCGGGATGGACCGCGAAGGCAGCCCTTCTCTTGGGGCGAGACGGACAGCGGTGTGTCAGATTCCGGCATTCAGTCGCCTGACAGCCAGCCCGGGACTGTCAGTGACTCAGAGACTCGGACCAGCCCATTATTCAGTTAGTTGCACGGATCAGTAAGCATCCGCCAGAAACGTCCGTCCCTTCTTCACCAATTTATTCTGCAGCTACTATTTGTCAACAAAGCGGTTCCTGCTCCCATTGCTGCAGTAAGCACGATGTGCAAAGAATCCCTGTTGGGGCTCTCGAGGATCAACCACTTACCCAGTTTATTTGCAGTCCTCTATTTATGGACCTTCTCCTCAGAGTCTGAGCCTGGGTTAGGTGTTTAAATTAGCTTTTCTAATCCTGACCAAATCCCAAAGGGTATAGGCTTTATTGCTAACCTTGTTTTTACAGGTGAGAAAACAGACCTCTGCCTTATTTGTGCAAAAGTTGTGTAGTTTGGGGTGTGTGTGTGTACCTGCCTTGAATACTTACTCTCCTAGTACAACTCCTCTGCCAAAAACCCGACAGCACCCTGCTCTATAATCCGTTCAGACTTTTGTTCTGAGTGCCATCCCCCAGTCTTCAGCTCTCTGCTGGGGATACTGACGCCCGCCAAGGCTTAGTTTCTGCTCTTGAAATTAGAGAGAAGCTATAGATGGTCTTAATACCTGTGTGGGTAATCCATCTGAATCCGGAGAGGAGTATCTCTTTTGGTTAGAAGAGCCTTTTCCTTTTGTTTGTCTCAGTCATTAAATATAGGAATCCCTCCTCTGACCGCAGAACTGAGACTTGAAATCCAACTCTGTAACCCCAAAGACAGGCTGACTAAAGATTGTAATGGGTTCAGGTCCTATACAGCCTGAAGCTTAAAAAATTGGGGGTGTTTTCTTTAGGAAAAAGATTGCAGATTGACCCCATGAACACACCGTTGGGGCCTTGGGAAGTGTCTGTGTAAGGGAGCGCCTCAAGCTTAAGCTTCATTAGCTCCAGGGTAAATCTTCCCTGGCTTATTACATTTACATCATTGTTTGTTTGCCCATAGGACTTCTACTAGACTGAGAATTCCTTGGGACAGGAACCTTGTCTATGATTCATCTCTGAAGCCTCCTCTATCTGTTATGGTACTAAGATACACCCAAGGGTGGCATTGTCCTACATTGCTTATGGGAAGGCAAAATGATGTAACTCATTAAGAAAATCTGGCAACACATAGCCACTCTATGTATCTATGTACTATTTCACCCAGGAATCCTAGGTCAAATCCTGAACTTCTAGGAATCAATCCTAGTGATAAATATTGACAAAAATACAAAAAGCTGTATGCACAAGTTATTCATTATGGCACTTTCATAGTAAAACATTGGAAACTGCTCACATGTCAAAGAACTGGCTGAATAAATTATAGTACAGGCACAAGAGAGTATGTAAGCAACCATACAAAGATATGTGGAAGACTTCTTACATACCTAATAAACATGCCAATCTGGAGAGATGTCCATATATAGTTTTAAGTGAAATAAGTGAGGTGCGTAGTAGTGTTTATATCACCCAGTAGCAGGATGATATAAAGGAACATTAATTGCTTATGTTTAAAAGTTAAACAGTAGAAGAATAAACTTCAGTCTTCTAAAAATGGTTCCCTTTGTGGGATGGAGAGGATAGAGATGTAAATGAGACTTCTGTGAATGTACCTTATTATACAGTGACTCTTTTGGAAACTTGTAAATGTTTTGCATATTTATAAAACAAAGTTCAGTAAAAAGAATAAAACATTCCATAAAAACAAATGGAAACAAATGTGCCATCTGTGTGTCAGGTTGGTGGTGTAACTACATATAGAAAATCATTTCAGTTGGCTTTATAAGTATTTTTTTAAAAGATTTTATTTATTTATTTGACAGACAGAGGTCACAAGTAGGCAGAGAAGCAGGCAGAGAGAGAGAGAGAGAGAGGAAGGGAAGCAGGCTCCCTGCTGAGCAGTGGGAAGCCTGCTTCTCCCTCTATCCCCTGCTCATGCTCGCTCTCACTATATATCTCTCTCTCAAATAAATAAATAAAATCTTAAAAACAAAGCAAAAACCAAGTTTAGGATGGGGCACCTGGGTGGCAAAGTTTTTAAGCATCTGACTCTTGGTGTCAGCTCAGATCATGATCTCATCATGGTCTTGAGATAAACTCCTGCATCAGGCCCTGCATTCGGCGGCCAGTCTGCTTAAGACTCTCTGTCTCCCTCTACCGCCACCCCCTCATGCCCTCTCTCTCAAATAAATAAATAAATCTTAAAAAAAAATTAAATAAGCCTAGGATAATTTTATATATGGGTTAGAGAGCAGAATGAATGAAGTATGTATTTTCCTCTTAAAACTGTGTTTTTGGGGTGCCTGGGTGGCTCAGTGGGTTAAAACCTCTGCCTTCGGCTCAGGTCATGATCCCAGGGTCCTGGGATCGAGCCCTGCATTGGGCTCTCTGCTCAGCAGAGAGCCTGCCTCCTCCTCTCTCTCTGCCTGCTTCTCTGCCTACTTGTGATCTCCGTCTGTCAAATAAATAAATAAAAAATCTTTAAACAAAACAAAACTGTGTTTTCTACTTTCTGCTAAAAAGGCCTAGAAATAATCACCAATCCAGTAGTAATGAACACCCCTAAAGCACAGATTTGGTCTCTAAACACCATTTTCCAGTTTAAAAAAAATTAAAAATTAAGCAAATAAAAATAAAAATAAAAATAAATAAATCAAGGCTCCTTTGATAAATGGCTGGTTCCAGATCTGGAACAGGAAAGATGATGTTGGGTTGTCTTGTACCCAGAAGCCATGAAACTATCAAGGACTATTGGGAGTCATGTATACCGAGAAGTCATGTATACTGAGAACCAATACAAAGGACCCTACTGGTCTAAGATAGAACACTTTGAGCATTAAAAGAAAAATAATGACTGGGGCGCCTGGGTGGCTCAGTGGGTTAAGCCTATGCCTTCGGCTCAGGTCACGGTCTCAGGGTCCTGGGATCAAGCCCTGCAATGGGCTCTCTGCTCAGCGGGGAGCCTGCATCCCCCTCTCTCTCTGCCTGCCTCTCTGCCTACTTGTGATCTCTGTCAAATAAATAAATAAAATCTTTAGGAAAAAAAAAAATAATGACTTCCATTGATCATAACACATAAAATATACAAAACCCATTAATAATGATACTTAAGGCAAACAACACATTTGTTATCAATGGAGTTTTATAGGGAATCAATTAATTACTCTGAACGTTGATGTAGAGAAATAAACACTTTTCTGGTCATTCCTTGATTAGTTATATTGCATGTAACCAAAGGGTAGCTAAGAAAAAGTTATTTTTTGTAGAAGAATTCTAACTAATAAATGCAAAAGAAATGGTAGGATGGTAGGATTAGAAAAACACGATCTTGCAAACCTTAATGAAGAATGAGTGTAGGCAACAAACATAAAACAATGCTAAAACAATTAGATGAAAGGTGTTGGGGAACTTTACAATAGCTTAAGCTGACACTGCCTGAAACGAGTGACCAAGCTAAGCATTACCAAGAGGGGGATTCAGTGCTCTCCATGAAATATCCTTGTCTTAAAAAGCAAAAAAAAAAAAAAAAAAAAAAAAAAAAAAAGTCTAAGCCTAATCAAGCCAAGATCTAATTACCAGTTTACCAGAAATCAGGGGGATAGGCAAATACTACAATCAGCCAAACCCAAAATGTGGGACATCCTACAGGACAAGTGACCTGGTTTTGGCAACAAATTCATGGCATGAAATTACAAAAGGAACATAGAATGTTAAGGCATAAAAACTCAAGATATGTGCCAAATCCAATAACCTTATTTGGGTCCTGATTCAAGTGTGCCAACTGTCAAAAGATATGTGTGGTACCAGCGGGGAAATTTGAATATGGACTGATAGATTAAGGAATTATTATTCTTTTTTTGTTAGATGTGATAACGACATCGTGCCTGTGGAAATAAAAGCCTTGTTCAATTAGAATGGCACATTGAGGGGTGCCTGGGTGGCTCAGTGGGTTGAAGCCTCTGCCTTCGGCTCAGGTCATGATCCCAGGGTCCTGGGATTGAGCCCCACATCGGGCTCTCTGCTCAGCAGGGAGCCTGTTTCCTCCTCTCTCTCTCTCTGCCTACTCGTGATCTCTGTCTGTCAAATAAATAAATAAAATCTTTAAAAAAAATGGCACATTGATGAAATGTAATGAGGTCTGGGCTGTGTTTATTATTCCACAAGCAGCACTGCAGACAAAAAGAGGAAGATTGACAGAATATTGATAGCTCATTGGAGTTCATCGTACTAATCTACTTATGTATATGTTTGAATATACAAGTTATGTATTCAAGTTGATTATAACAAGTAGACAAGTACGCTCAAAAAATGAAATGTCAGGGATAGGTGGGAACTTGGATGTAGTGATCCTGCCCCCTTGTGGTAGGCTCCATTGGTACAGCTACTGCCCCAGCCTTAAAGGCAGATCTAATTCCCAGAGCTGTCAAGAGTTGGGTTATAAAGCTCCCAAGAACCCTAGGAAATGGGTAGTATCACTACACCATTAGTGCACCATTAGTATTAGCTGGGGAAAGGGGGACTCGGAGGGACTCAGTAAGTTCAGTTTCTAGTAAGCCACTGGCAGAGCCAAGCTCCAGGTCCCAAACCCCATAAATTGCTGTGTCTCCAGACCTTCCTTTTCCTATCTGAACAAAGGGGTCCCATGAAAAGAGGCAAGTGGAGATGCCCCTAATTAAAATAGGTCCACAGGAAGCAGATCGTCGGGCAGCAATTCTGCCTATAAACTACAGATAAATATGAATAGGTACTCTGAATGTAAATAAAAAGAGGTAACCAAAGCTGCGTAAAGTGCTGTGTATACATGATCTCACTTACTCCGCATAGTTATCCTGAGGCATGTGCTATTGTTATTCCCCTTGTACAACCAAGGACACGGAGTTCCCAAGAGGAAAAAGTCACATAGTTAGGAAACATCTGATTTGGGACTGGAAACTGAGTCTGACTACGGTACCCATGTATTTTTTACTGAATTTTTTTTTTTGAGATATGGTTTACTTACAGTGAAATGTTCACATCTTTAGAATATAATGCTTGTGGGGCGCCTGGGTGGCTCAGTGGGTTAAAACCTCTGCCTTCGGTCAGGTCATGATCCCAGGGTGCTGGGATCGAGGCCCGCATCAGGCTCTCTGCTCAGCGGGGAGCCTGCTTCTTCCTCTCTCTCTCTCTGCCTGCCTCTCCCCCTACTTGAGATCTCTGTCTGTCAAATAAATAAATAAAATCTTTAAAAAAAAAAAAGAACATAATGCTTGTGTTTTTAACCCCCAGTAACTATTTTATTCTGCTTGTCTCACTTTTAGCATGAAGACAAATATTAATTATTATTTTTTTCGTGGATAGTTTTTAAATTTTTTTTTTTTTTTACGTAGGAATGGGAGCTATGAAAGAGAAGAAAATGGTCACGAAGGGTACATGGGTAAAGTCAAAGTTCATAGTTCTGCCTAGAATAGACTATGCCTCTGATGATTCTTTTTTTCCTTGTAGGAAAGGGTGGTTTCTATTTTTATCTCCTCTCTTCTTTTAGAAGACTCACCATCATGCCCTCTCAGCCACTTACACATATAATTAAGTCAGTGGAGCTCAAGTGGGGCAGTTTGCCTTGCAGGGTGCATTTGGCAATGTCTGGAGACATTTTTGGTTATCACACTGGGAGGGTAGGCACTGCTTGAATCTGGTAGGTAGAGGCTGAGGATGCTGCTACAAGCCACAGGACAGTCCCCCACCACAAAGAATTATCCTGCTTAAAAAGTCAGTAGTGTGGGGGCACCTGGGTGGCTCAGTGGGTTAAGCCTCTGCCTTCGGCTCAGGTCATGGTCTCAGGGTCCTGGGATCGAGCCCCGCATCAGGCTCTCTGCTCAGCGGGGAACCTGCTCCCCCCCTCTCTCTGCCTGTCTCTTTGCCTAGTTGTGCTCTCTCTCTCTGTCAAATTAAAAAAAAAAAGTCAGTAGTGTGGAAACTGAGAAACTAATCTAAGTGACAGCAGTAGACTCGCTATGCAAATGCAACTTCAGGGCATTTAGGGTCTCTTAGTCTCCTTTTCCCACAGATTGCTGGCCCTAAATTCCTCCTCTGCGGAAATTCTGGAGACATGCCTGATGTTTCATGTTTCATCGGAGACCTGGTACCCTCGGAAGTCATCGCACCCCGGGCCGGCTACAAGGTGTTATGAACGTGCTACCAAATTATTAAGGGCAATTAACCAGGTGTATCAGCGACTGTTTGGCGGAGCAGTTCCTATCTTGCCATAGCAATGAGGATCCCCATCCATGCTCTCTCCCCTCTACTTCCAGCCCCAACTCTGCAGGGGGAGGCTGATGGAGAAACTCCTTTAAGGAGAATGCCAGCTCTGGCACTGACATGCTGTGTGACTTTGGATAACTCTCCCTGTTCCGTGCCTCAGTTTCTCCATATGCATAATAAGGAGTCTGACCAGCTCATCTCTACAGATCCTTCCAGCTCTGCCACTCTGATTCTTTAGGCCTACACCTCCGCTATGCTTGTACCAAGATTGAAATGCTTGTTTCTGATCCACCCTCCCCCCAAACAGGTGATTTAGAGGCCCAAGAAAGTCATGTGTCAGCCACAACTTTAGCTATTGTGTCTTTGGACGGGTCCTAGTTGTCT